TAAATACCTCTTATCGTAAATTATTTTCCTCCTTCGGCCTTTCTCAATCCACTCATGAAAAAGGGCCTTTAATGAACGCGCCGTCTGGCATACATAATTAGAAAGAACTACCACTTACCAAGATAGGTAGGATCTGATTGTCTTAATGGAAGAGGAGGTAGAAATTAAATCCATACTTTAATACTATAAATGCGAAAGTGTGTTTATTTGTTTGTTTGTTTGTTGGTCCTTCTTTCACGTAGCAACAGAGCGTCGGCTTGGCAAGATTATTTGTATGGGGATATTTCGGTGGCTGTAGAGTGACATAGGTTACTTTTTTCCGCGGAAAAACATCTTATTCCCGTGGGAAAATAGAATATGTTGCAAAATTAAATTTAGCTAGGTGGCGCCATCGTGATTCTACAAGACGGACGACGGTACGATGGACGAACACAGAAGGTCAGAATATCTGGATTATTATGTCTTTTTACCAAAATTAAGATAAAAAATGTATGGATCTGTATTTTTCCACGCAGGACCGGGAAGAGAGCGATAAAAAACATAAAATTCACCAGCTGATTTTCTTCAAACGTTTTGGTGCATTGTAATTCACAGAATAGGCGATAACCTCGCAGACGATATTAAGTAATCCGTTGATGCTCTGTCTACTCCGCAAGGGTTGCAGGCGTGATTATAAGTATGGATCAGAAATACTATCACCATCTGTCACGCTTTCACCCTTAACTATTACTTAACTGTGATAGAAACAGTTGTTAGTAAGCCTTATTAATAAGCCTTAGTAATATTTACTGAACGGAAATGAATACAGGTCTTATATGTAGTTATGAATGAATCGGTATTACAATAAGAAAAATTGTGCAAAATTATAAGAAAAATATTTTTGAGAGTTCTTATTAAATAACGTATACATAGTTTAAATTGATTCCGCTAGATGTCGTTACTAGGTTTTTAAAACGCGGTAACGAAATGTCTCCTGACATGTACTTAACTCCCGCCGTTGAGCCGCGCGTCCACTTATAGTGCATACGGTACCTATCCGCTTAAATTGTTTCTATTTCGTAGCTTATTCGACTACCTGCTTTCGATTTCGATTGCTTTGTGATTTGGTTCAGGTTGAATGGATTTATATTGGCTTTCATTTTCGGTTTTGTGTATGTATGAGACGGAAAAAATGACACTAGCATATTTACTATAGTAAGTTAATTTTATACAACATTACATCGACTACACGCCTAATAAATATGAGTAATTTAAAAGTAATTTATCTAACCCAGCTGAGTCAATAAAAACGACACGCTTATTTGTTCACATCACATAATATTTTTAGTTTAATCAACCCAAATGTACCAATAATAAATGTACGAAATATGAACGTACCAATATATCAGGTAAACATAGGTAATTTTTTGAACTATGATAGTTCCGTAATAGAATCCATTAACAATAGCCCCGGTGCCACAAATATACATGCAAACACAGAGCTCCCACTCTTTCTGACCTACCTGTAGTCAATATACCATTTAAAAGATCGCAGGTGGGCGAAAATACAGCTTTAGAAACTCGGGAAATACGAGTCCACAACCATACCCAAAAACTAACAATATTTGTTTTTACACAAATATTAGCTCTATTAGCATTCCAAACAAGGTACTTTTCTTCATCAGGAAAGGTACCTAATAAATACTCCTACAAAAAATTGGTTTGTGACAATCTTCGATCAACAATACCAACTAGATGTCGGGTCGGCGCAAGAAATCCATCTCAGTAAATAAGAGCGCACATGAGACGTGAGCTCTTGCACGTGAGAGTGTAGCTTGCAAGGCAATAACGGGAAAAAGAACTTTATTTGTTATAATTTAAGGTTGATTTCACACTACATATTATTTAATTTATGTCTTTTCATAGTTTATATTCATGCGGACAGTATTCATCTATGATTTTGTACGTGACCCGTTATCTAGTTGGTATTGTTGATCGAAGGTGACAATCTATGGAAGAATCGTCAGCTATATGATAATATACAGCATTTTATTCGTGGTAGAGCCATGCTACAGCTAAATACTTCTACTGGACACGAGGCTTGTCTTTTTACTGGAAACTAGACATTCCGTCAAAGTCCTCAGAGCTGACAACGCATCTGCACTTTGACTCTTTTGATTCAATTTAAAATTCCATTCATTTGATATAGATCCACTGCATTTACTTAACATCGAGTGGACTGTGTGCTCGTTTGTCAACCTTATTCTATAAAATAAAATAAAAATTGGCAAATCCAAAAGTGCACACCACGAACGCTCAAGTAATGTTTTGAATAATCAATATAAGTACTTTTATTAATTACTGAAACACGTATTTCGTTTAAAGCTACAAAAAAAGTTGTTTCTGTTTTAATTATCACGAATTTTTTTACTTGATATCGGTGATTCGTATTTTGTTACCGAAAAAATTGTCAATCAACTAATAAAATAAAATATTAGTTAACAGGACTGCATAAATTACCGTGGTATAAGCCTTCTTAGCGTCGTCGGTAAATTATATGCGAAAGTGTTGATTGAAAGGGTTGTGAATGAAACAGACGAGAAAATATGGGATGCACAAGCGGGATTTAGAAAGGGAATGGGATGTACGGATCAGGTCTTTCCTTTGCGGTGCATAGCCGAAAAGTGTTTATCTAAAAACAAGAAAGTCTACTGCGCCTTCGTAGATCTAGAAAAGGCCTATCATAGAGTGGTGAGGAATAAATTGTGGTCAGCACTGTCCGTGAACGGTGTGAGCAGTGTCCTCATACGAGCATTGCAATCTCTTTATAGGGATTCTAGTGCTTGTGTAAGGATAAACGAGGCATACACTGAATGGTTTAATATCGAAAAAGGTGTTAGACAGGGATGTGTAGCGTCACCGTGGCTGTTTAATCTGTTCATGGACAATTGTTTGACAGTTTTAAAAGAGAATGAAAGTGGGTTGAGAATGAATGAGTCACTCGTCAAATGTTTTCTCTATGCTGATGACCAAGTATTACTTGCGTCTTCGGCCGAGGAGTTGCAGGAGATGGTAACTGCTATGAGTGGAGCTTTTGTTAGAAAGGGAATGAAGATGAATGTAAAGAAGACGAAAGTGATGGTGTTTGAAAAAGATGAGGCAGTGACAGACTGCAATATCGTGATTGAAGATGAACAAATTGAACAGGTGAAAGAGTTTGTGTATCTGGGGTCAAAGTTTACAAGAGATGGAAAGTGTGAGAGTGATATCGAAAGAAGAGTGAATGCAGGAAACATGGTGAATGGAGCTTTGCACTCCTTTATGAGCAGTCGGAAAGTGTCTAACAAGGCTCGTTTGGCTGTGCATGAGGGGGGTGTTGGTTCCGACACTCAGGTACGGAAGTGAAAGTTGGGTATGGCAGAAGAAACATGAAAGTAGAATAAATGCAGTTGAGGTGAGAGCATTAAGAAGTATGATAGGAGTTAAACTGAGTGACAGGATAAGAAATAGTGAGATAAGGAAACGTTGTGGTCTGAAAGAAGATGTAGTGACAAAAATTGAGAAAGGTATGCTGAGATGGTTTGGCCACATCGAGAGAATGAATGAAGAACGATTGACGAAAAAAAGTGTATAAGGCGAGTGTGAATGGAAGTGCTGGAAGGGGTAGACCTAGGCGGACTTTTCTAGACCAAATTAGGGACGTCTTGAAAAAAGGCCAGGTTAAGAGTACCCTAAACCGTAGAGCATGTATGAAGGGAATAATGAAAGTAGACGAAGCGAAACAAGTATGTAAGGATCGTAGCAAGTGGAAAGAAGTGGTCTCTGCCTACCCCTACGGGAAAGAGGCGTGATTATATGTATGTATGTATGTTACAATAGTGATATTCAAAAGGCTTCCTAAGGATTTAAATCTAAAGCTAATAAAAAGAAAATAACGTGATTAGTTCAGTTTTTAGAAAGATATATTGTTCACATCCATACCGACCAACTGACGTCCAAGAGAAATTATTTTTAATTAACTTTTTTTAATAATAATAGATATAAAATAATCTTATAACTACGTCAGAAATATTAATTGAAATCTCCTTTTACTATTGGTGTACCTTTTTATTATATAAGTTCAATATTTGATGGCTCCGTGGCGCAGTGGCTTAGCAATGAGTTGCAGCGCTAAGGGCCGTGGGTTCGATTCCCGCACGGAATAAATATTTGTATAAGATAATTGTTCCGGGTCTGGATGTTTGTCCTTGAGAAATTTATATATGTAAACTACCCCCACGATACTGAGAAAATACTAGTGTGGAGATCACATTTCTCTAAAAAAAAAGCTGTTGGAAGTGATTTTATTTCAATGGTTCTCGACTTTTTGATTTGGTGAAAATAGAACACCTCTATCTCCGCTTCGCATTTGAAGCGGAGATGGAGATGTTCTATTTTGTGTGCAATAAAAACGAATAATCCATTTGGGATAATGAATCCGCTTACGCTGCCCGTTCAGATACACTAATCATCATCAAGTGCTTAATATTTTTTATTGTTGTGAGCAACAAGCGAACGAACACACTATCTTCTCAATATTGAGAAATAAAATGACCATGATTAAATTAATACTTCTAAAATAAATCCAATTGATTTTTAAAGTTCGTTAAACTCAGCAATAACTTTGTCAGGAAATGAAAGTAAACAGAAAGCGAACTTACTAACTAATCTTTGTTCTTGACGACATTAAAAATAAGCACTTTTCGCTCTATCGACGAAAACAATACACCGAAAATGTTAAGTGATAAATAAGAAAGGATAATGCATGTTTAGTGGCATTGTTCATTAAGCAGGTACAAATACTGATACTACTACTGATATATAACATTGATATATAGCCGAAATTGAAACAAGAAAATAACTATGTAGGTAATTTGTAAAAGAGAAACGCTCACGAATTCATGTACTATACAACGCGCGACTACAATAACATATTTCCGATAGCGGGCAATAGATGAAAGAGATCATTATTTATGTTTCAGATGTCGTGCTCTCCGGACACCGGGCAACATCCTTGTCGCCAACCTTGCTCTCAGCGATTTCTTGATGCTTGCTAAAACGCCGATTTTTATTTTTAACTCTTTTAACCTCGGACCGGCATTAGGAAAAACGGGTAAGTTTCGCGTAATCAAAAAGCAAATTTCATTTCATTATTTAATAAATAAGATAAAAAGTGCTGTAAAATAGAGCTTTTAAAAATTAAACATTTGTTTAATTTTACGACGACATTTTAAAATTTGTGATAAGTCTATATCAAAAGTAGTTTCTATAAATTATATTTATATCATAATTTTATTGAAATATATTTTTAACAATTTTAAGCTACGAAAGTATTTTTATTTTTAACTCTTTTAACCTCGGACCGGCATTAGGAAAAACGGCTAAGTTTCGCGTAATCAAAAAGCACATTTTATTATTAATAAATATGATAAATAGTGTTGTAAAATAGTGCTTTTGAAAATTAAACATTTGTTTAATTTTACGACGACATTTTAAAATTTATGATCAGCATATAATATTAAAAGTAGTTTCTATAATTTATATTTATAATATATCATAATTTTTTTGAAATATACTTTTAACAATTTTAAGCTACGAAAGTAGCTTTATTTTATTTTTTTATTTTTAACTCTTTTAACCTCGGACCGGCATTAGGAAAAACGGCTAAGTTTCGCGTAATCAAAAAGCACATTTTATATTTTATTATTAATAAATATGATAAATAGTACTGTAAAATAGAGCTTTTGAAAATTAAACATTTGTTTAATTTTACGACATTTTAAATTTTATGATCAGCCTATAATATTAAAAGTAGTTTCTATAATTTATATTTATAATATATCATAATTTTTTAGAAATATAATTTTAACAATTTTAAGCTACGAAAGTATTTCTTTTATACAACCTTAGAACTATATACAAATTTTGTTATGATTTACAATTGCACTTTTTGTTTTTTTATTTTTACGGTGTGCGTCAAATTTTACCGTTGTTTAAATTCTAAAATTTAATTATCGTAGTGGCTCTTTTAAATGTTTCATTGTCTCTCTGTTTCAGGTTGCGTTGTCTACGGTTTCCTGGGTGGTTTAACTGGAACTACTTCCATCGCAACACTAACTGCAATAGCATTAGACCGATATTGGGCAGTGGTACGTCCATTAGAACCTCTCAGAGCCCTAACTGCTATTCGCGCTCGTTTGTTAGCGGTTGCAGCCTGGCTATACGCTGCAATATTTTCCGCTATCCCAGCTTTAGATATTGGATACGGGCGTTACGTTCCAGAGGGATATTTAACTAGCTGCAGCTTCGATTATCTAACTGAAGAAATGGGACCTCGTTATTTCATCTTCACGTTCTTTTGTGCTGGATGGTTGGCGCCATTCTGCACAATTTCTTTTTGTTATACAAGCATTCTTCAAGTTGTTGTTTGTCAACGAAACATTTCGACAACTGGAACCAACAATCATGATCAAAAACTTTCGTCAAGACATGTGAAAGAAAAGGTGAAACGCAAAGCAGAGATTAAACTTGCATTCCTAGTAATAATTGTAATAGCTCTATTTTTTATATCGTGGACGCCGTACGCTATCGTAGCGCTTTTAGGTATATTTGGTCAAAAGCATCTAATAACTCCTACAGCTTCAATGGTACCAGCACTATTTTGTAAAACTGCTGCATGTATAAATCCCTTTATTTATATTATTGCACATCCCAATTTCCGTAAAGAATTACAAAAAATATTGTATAGAGATAAATCTAAACGTATGAGTGGCACGTTAAGAACTACCGGATATTACACTGATTCAAACAAGATGCATAGACCGAGCAAAGACTTAAGCGATACGGATGTTGAAATTGTTGAAATGAAAGACATTCCCTACCAATCCGACTTGCCTAGAAAAACTAGCTCTAATTTAGATACAATATCGTCAAAAGTATCCGAACGCGACGATTCACAAAGGAGTGTGAGTTTGAAAAGCTTAGACGAAAGTGTAGTAACTCCGCCTTCTCGTAAGCCCCAGTTCAAGAAGAAAAAAAGTTTCCAACAAAGATCATCGAAACGATCGAGTCAGTAAACAAAATAAGAAAAGAGTTACATAAATGGTATTTTTGTTAAGTATTACATCGATCAACTTCTTTGATTGTAGTAATACGGAAGGCACTACAAATTTATAGAGTAGATCAACTATTTATTTACATGCAGACTAACGTCTGTCTTTGGTTAAGTGAAACCTAGTCACAATAGTTAACGACTTTTAAAAATCTTAGGACGATTTTACAAAAAAGGTAAAATTATAGTATTTAAAATATAGTTGACTAAAAATAAGGAAACACTTAAAAGAGGTACATAAATACTTAAATTAAAGAGCACAGTGTCTTAAGGCTTGGCTGTTTATGATTTATCATCTGTAAAAAACAAATGAATATTTCACTTGTTATAATTGTAAGAATAACACCTAGTATTCAACATCGATGTTCCACCTATAATAAAATCTTCAAAAAATTTAGTCGTCTTATTTGCGTGTAATCTCTACCCTGAAATTTGGTAAACGTGAAACTTTCATTGTACTTTTTGTGTTGAATTTCCTAAATGATGTAATAAACAAATATTTATGTAATCAACAACTTTTTCTAAACAGTATTACCAAATCTCTTCTGAACGTACATTGAATCCACGAAACATCTGCTGTGCTGAAAGTCAAAACATAATGTTAGTCAGAAGTACTTAAACTAAGACAACTTAAGTTCACTAAGCCGAGCCATATTACTTTTCTTATTCTGCAAAACATAATTGCAAGTCTATTAAACTATTTAATTATCATTTACTCCTATTAAGGGGATAGAGTAAGTCAGCTCAAATTCTAATTTCGTCCCCACTTGCCCGCGCGTCGTATGCTATGTACCGACATGTTTGTAATCACTAATACAGTAGTAGAAAGTCGTTAGACACTTATTTCATTAGGTTTATCATATTTATGCCCGTTTTTTAACGCCAAGCCAGTCGCTTCTTATTTTTATTACGGTTATTTCCCATTTTAATTTTACGTCGTTCTGTTGCGTAATGTATATTCTGATCGTAAGCGACACAACCTCCCCGTTCAAAGGCCGAAGCGAAGTGACCGTGCGACAGGAATCACGCTTCAAGAGGCCGATAGTTTAGGTAATTTCTTTTTACAGTGAAAATAATGGTATTTAAAAAAAGTAAATAACATAAGCACTGCTTTATAGTTAGTTCAGTTAGTATGCAAAGTTTCATGATCTTATTTAAAGTATTTTATGAATAACAGCGGTTTATTGTTTATTTTGGAGGTAACTGGATTTTTTTTCTATCGAGAAAATTTTACGAAATCGTGTTTTCGTCTAACATAATCCTTAACATTAATCCTCAACTTTACCATATATTTATTTCAAAATTAATGCTGCAATATTTTCGACATAACGAAGGATCTTGCTAAGCCATTTGAGATTATATTTCCCCTTAACAGTTAAACAATATTAAGTTTTAGTAAAGTATTGATAAAATCGCCAAACTAGCTACTAACCGCTGTTCAGATATATCTGACTGACATAAATAATAATGGTACCCTTTATCGTTTTTATAACATAAAGGAAATATAAGTGATGTTGATTTGCCACCACGTGATGTTGTATTGAAGATAATTTTGATATTTTCCTCTCAAATTTTAGTCATTACGACCACTACCGAATAATAAGAAAGTTTTAAGCTACTCAGGACATATAGAGCCCCAAGCGTATAATATATTATGCTAACACAAAGGCAATTACTCATCCTAACTGTTATACATTTTACATCCTAAATATAACCAAAGCCACAACACGTGTATTTTGTTTGTTTTTCTAGGCTTGATATACACAACTTATTCGACTCAGAATGTATAAAAGGCTTCGGTAAAAGGGCTGGCGACACTGGGCCTGTCCGTGCAAAATACTCTCAACAGCACAAACATCGCAGCCAGATGATAGGGATCAAGTTGACTATCTGTTTATGTTCAATCAATACGATTCAACTAGGGTTGCCACATTTCAAAGAAGTAGTAAAATATTGTGGAAATATCGCTTTAAATTTGAAAGGGTTATATGGTTTAATTAGAAATGATAAAACATATATTGAAATTGAGTGAAATATTATGATTTTCAAATAAATTTGGCGGTACAATACGCGCGCGATCTACTGTAAGTTAATATTGCGATGCCTATAACGTTCGCGTAACGGCGCCTCTACACGTTGGCCAACACAGTGGCGAATGTAGTGGCCAATAGCATTGGCCAACGTGTAGACGCGGTGTTTGAGCTTCATTGGTATGTATTGGGACTATGGCCCACAAGTTGGCGCGAGATCCGTGTGGTGTCGGTTTTTTACAAAAGATCAAAGGATTGTTGGCAGAGTTTGGTCGCCGCGTCCACACGTTGGCCGCGCGTTTAGTTTGCTACAAGCTCCCAGAGTGATTACATGCATCTGATTTAAATTTTATATTCAAGCTTTGTAGGGTGGATGTCCCAATTATCAGCCTTTTAGTGCCAATTTCAACTTTAAACATTCCTACTACTTTAATTAGCGCGATTTAATTATTTTTAAACATTTGTTTTAATCGATTAACTATTTATCAAAAAAATAACGAAAGGTTCGTTATTTGTAATATTAAGTATGTATATTGATAATCAGATTATTACGAGAACACATTTAAAATGAAAAAAAATGAAGCACGTCGTTTATACGTGGTAGAACCATGCAGTTATATTAGAAGTATAGTTGTAGCACGAATGGGTCGGCTCAACCGGGGAAGGACCACGCTCTCACAGAATATTAGCGTAAAATAGTAGCATATGCATTTTGATTCGTAATCGAGGATAGATGTAGATGTCTGTGGGCCACAGTAACCACTTACCATCAGGTGAACTGTGTGCTAGTTTGTCACCCTATCCTATAAAAAAAACGTCGACTTCTTATAATTCAATCGTGCAAGTTTTCGAATCATCATCATCATTACAGCTCTTCACAAGTCCACTACTGAACATCCTCCTCCACAGACTGCCACAAAGCATGGTCCAGAACCACTTTCCTTGTCATGAGTTTTTCATTTATGTTCTAAGTATAATTAGTACCAATTATTAAGTCAGTGTTAATTATATTTATTGCTATTGTTTTTGTCTTTCTCAAAAAATAATTAAATTACCAAATAAATTATAAGATGTTTTTTATATACATCAAATGTTTGATAGAAATGCAAGTACATATTTTGCTAAACTTTAAAATCAAAACCCAATTTTAAAACATAGACTAATCGATTATAGCTCCTTTAACTTAAAAATAAGTTAAGTTCTTATTAATGGTATTTATTCCAGTTTATGATGCATGTAAAGAATAAATAAAGCTAATCGTATATCATATTTCTATTTACAGCCCCATTAATATCCACTATTCTTTTATAATTATTTTATAAAAACGTAACCCCCCACACTTGGATTTTCTCCTGTATCGCGGAGGCAGCTTGCAAACATAAATTGCACAAAGACACACATCCAGACCCCAAGCAATTATTTGTAGGATATACAAATACATGTTCCGTGCGGGATTCAAACCCGCGGCCCCCCGGCACAGCTACTCATTGCTAAGCCACTGCGCCATCGCCGTCGTTCGTCCGCACATTGGCCCGAACCGAAGTAAACTGAACGACCCTCCAACGTGTGGACGCCGTCACCAACTGAAAAATGTATTCGAGCAATATGTGGGCTTAAACCAACTGAATCATGTCAACTGGTGTTTAAAAAACTTGAATTATTACCCCTACCATGTCTTTATATTTATGAAATATGCATGTTTGTATGGAAGCATAAATATTTATTTAACACGGCGGATAATGTAAACCCTCGGATGCGGCGAAACCCATACAAACTCATATTAAGTGACAATCCTAGAGTAAGTAAATATAATAAAAGCTGTTTATCTATGTACGTACACGTTTATATAACAAGTTACCAAATAATATTAAAATTTTAAATACTAGATTATTTAAATCAAAATTACTGGAATACCTAATTAAGAATAATTTTTATAGCATTAAGGACTATATTAATCATAAGTCTTAATGCACGATAAAAATCTTTTGCATGCTATGTTCTCTCTAGCAAAACATGTTGTTCGAATGTATATTTGTAAAATCTTTTTCATACCATGTTTTAAGCAAATAAATATATAAAAAAAAACTCTCGGCCAATATATTCGCCACTACATTCGCCACTGTATTGGCCAACGTGTAGAGGCGACATAAGTGCAAGCAATAAGTTGACAATCTGTGGTTCGGCAAGGAAGGTCATCTGCTAGATTGGACGAATGTGGTGAATTATTACATTAATAATAATGTCCTCCATACCCAATTTCGGTTACGGTCGGCTTTCTAAATCGCGCCAAGCGCCAACTCTTAGAACAATGGCCCATGCTCACCACTCCAGGTTGTTGATATAATTCCTCCTCACATCGCTAATGCTAGCAGTTAGAATGCTGGTCTCAACAACTAGTCACACAGTTGTAAATATCTGAATCATATATCCCAGCAACCAAACTTAGCGTCAAGACCGTGTCGCAGGCTCTCAAGTGTGTTTTTAATAATATTTAATTACTTTACTGCGAAGTGTAATGGTGTCGTAAGAATACATGCACTACTCCATACTATCCCGTGGACGTCGTAAAAGTCGACAGAAGCAAAAAATAAGATGGGCAGCAACATTGTGTAAACAAAGCCCAATGGGACAGCTTGCTGATTCAGGATGGAGTCCTGTGCCGTAAATGGGACAATGGTCGAGGAGACAGCTGTCATCTGCAAATGGTTGTCCCTAAAGCTAAAGTACCGGATGTTCTACAGCTGTGCCATAATGATTATTCAGGAGGCCATCTGGGAGTTAAACGAACTCTACTGAAGATCCGAGAACGGTTTTACCGGGTCCACTGTCGAAACGATGTCGAGGACTGGTGTCGCAAATGTACATGTTGTGTATAGGCACCTCAGACTAGTAGTAGAGGTGCATTGATGTTGTTCAATTTTGGTGCACCAAGGGA